GATAATAAAATAATAATATAATAAATAAATAAGATAAAAATATAGTAATAATAAAATTTGACAACTAGGGTCAACAATGTCAAGTTTTCCTTACTTGAGAAGGCTTTAACATATTGAACTAATCAAGTTATTGCAGGTGGTATGATAATTTCTGATGAAATTCTTCAAGAAAAAGAAAGAGAATTTGCAACTCATTTTAATATTGAAGAAAGTCAATTAAATTTTTTCAAAGGCTGGCTAACAAAATTTAAAAAAAGAAATAATATTCATATGTATAAGTTACATGGTGAAGTTGAATCTGCACCTCTGGAATCTTTAGCTGAAGAATACTTAAAATTACAAGAATTATTATCAAAATGTAATCCAGAAGATGTTTATAATGCTGATGAAACTGGACTTTTTTTCAGAATGGCTCCTAATCAAACTATAGCAAAATGAAAAAGAGCAGGAAAAAAATTGGTAAAAGAATTTATAAAAAATTAAATTGTTCTTTAAATTGTTGTACTAATATTTTTATTATTAATTTACTTAAGGATAAAACCAAAGTTACAGTATTACTTGCTACAAATATTACAGAAACACACAAGTTGAAACCATTGGTAATTGGCCATAATAAAAATCCTCAATATTTCAAAAATATCAATGTCACAAGTTTACCAGTAATGTACAAGTATAACAGCAAAGCATGGATGCATAATAATATTTGAGAATCATGGTTAAAATATTATGATAAAGGATTTCAAATTCAATATTGCCAGGTTCTTTTGTTAGTAGATAATGCACCTTCCCATACTAGTCCTGTAGAAAATAATTCTAGTGAAAATGACTCAGATTCAGATTTAATTCCAGAATCCTCAAATAATAAATGAAAAAAAACATTAGAAAAAAATAAGCAACAATCTAAAGATAATGTATCTTTTACTTTAACCAATATTACAATTCATTATCTTCCCCCCAATACAACATCTCATATTCAACCATTAGATGCAGGAATTATTAAAAGTTTTAAAGCAAAATATAAACATTATTTCTTAAACATGTATTAAATCAATATGAAGAAAACATTGATTATGAAAAGTAAGTAATTTTTTATAAATTAATTTATTTAATATTTCCGGCACTTACATTTGTATCAATTTAGAAATAAAATTAATGTATTACAAGCAATTGAATATATTTCTCATTCATGGGATGATGTTACAGTGATGACAATACAAAATTGTTGGTGCAAAACTGGAATTTTACCAAATTTAAAATATAAACAATATGATGCAACAATGAAACTATTGATTTAACAAATCTTTATGAAAATCAATCTCAAGAAAATGCAACTTATCAAAAATTAATTACTGAAATAGAAACTTATATTAATGCTATTGATAAACTTCTTGCAACTGAAGATGTTCTTTCTGAATCTGAAATAGTTACTATGATACTTGCAGATAATGAAATTGAAAATAATACTTCTCCAGATCCCGAAGAAGAAGAAGAGTTACCTCCACCTCGTATTACTTCAACTGATGCATTAAATGCATTAAAAACATTAATTAGATATGAAGAACAGCTTTCTGATAATGAAACAATCTCACAAGATGAATTGCGCAAAAGATTGCCACTATACGAGAAAATGTGTAAAAAAAATAAAAAGCAAGTTTCTCTTGAGAATATACGGATAAATTAATTAAAAAAATTTGTATTTCTTTTATTAAATAATAAATAATATAATAAATATATAATATAATAAATATAAAATACAATAATAATATATTTTCGCCAATATATAAAATTCTCTATAATCACCGATCATATATTGGTGATTATAGGGAGAACAATTTCTATATTCACCATTCTTTATAATCACTAAAAATCCCGATCCCGATAGTGTGATTATAGAGAGACCTGACTGTATTAGATTTTACATTTTTATTAATTTTTGCGTGTCAAGATTTCAAAAGAGAAAAAAATTAATGAAAATTTTTACAAAATTTTATTATTTATAATTTTAAATTATATACATAAGTAATTAAGAATGATGAACATTTAATTTACTTAAAGTTAATATTTTAAAAATATTTAAAATCAGTTATGTAAAAAAGCGAAGGATGAAAATAAATGACCTTAAAAACCGTTATTTAAATTTATTGTGAACAGTGAAGGCATATATTATGTCAACAAATTGATTGAAGAAATATGTATTAAAGCAACAGCTTTTTGGTAAGCGCAAATAACGCTTTACACAAATGGGCAACTTCACTTCCAATAATAAATGTGCATAAAGAAAACATTCATAGTTTTCTGTTTTATTTATGCATAAAAATGAGAATATAGCATTCAAAATTACAAAATATTTTTTGATTAAAATATACAATTCATTAGAACGAGAAGGACAAGAAAGAACTCTCAAATAAATGAATAGAATATAGATATATATATATGGTTAGTATAAATGTGAATAATTTTGAAAATGTTAACTGCCATTTATATATATTAATTAGATAACAACGTACATATTTGATTTATTTATTGGTATATTTATTTCTTTTTTTCTTGATATCTACATAATATAAATGTAAAATATAAATATATAAGTATATGAAAATATATTATTATATAAATATATCTCAATGTATAATTTAATTTTTATATCTTGATTTTATCTTATATGTAGATATAACTATTTTTTTCATATAAATATACGCTTTATATTTATTACTTATTCTATAAAGCCGATATATGCAAAATACAACAATAATTTCCGATGCATAGTTAATAAATGATTTTCACGCATTTTTTTATAGGACAAAATCAAAATTAGCGAATAAAAAGATAATTTAGAATAATGGAAAAATAATAATGGAATTGTGGAACAGAAGTTGTTTCCAAAAAATATCATGTAAAACTTATTGTTGTGATCCATTCAAACTATAATTGTAAAATAAAAAAGGGATTTCTGGTTTTTTTTCGTTTACAAGTTTTAGACATACTTTTTTATCATAAAATAGAAGTGGCTTTGAAACTAACACCAACTTATTATTTTCAATTCCGGGAAAAAAATAATAAATAATAATAAAACTGTCAATTGAACAATGGCAAACAAATTCAGTTGCAATAAAAAAAGTAATAAAAGAATAAAATATTCAATCTCAATAAAAAAATTTTATATATTACACAAAAATCGGCGTGCTCTTATTATATAAGGCATGTTCTATTTCGTCATGGGTAATGGGTGAAATAATTGGGGGTGCCTTGATCATAAAAAATAACCATTTATAAAAAAATTTTACGTGAAAAGTTTTTCTACACGCATAGCCAAATATATAAACACTATTAAATAAATAATTAATAATTGTAATACGATAATTATAAGCAATAAATTAGAAATTATAATAATGAGATAATGATAATAAAAAAAATAGGAAAATGCAAAAATAGGCATCCAGTTACATAGTTACACACTTTAAAAATTTTCTAGAAATATCCAATTTATGTATATAACAGTGGGTAGCCCTAACCCTAAATAATACTATATGAATTGCTTTATCAAATTCGTTTATAAATCTTTGTTAATTCTTCACAATTCTAATTATTCTCCAATTTAATTACAATTCTAATTATTCTCCAATTTAATTACAATTCTAATTATTCTAGAATCCATATATGTTCCATACAAAAATAAATAAAATATTTCGATATATCGTTATTATTTTTATAATTAATTAAATTATTATTAAAAATGGAAGGAAAAAGGGGGCTGATTAGTTGAACAAAAAAAATCAACATACACGCGAAATTATGATGCCATTACTTTGGTGATGGTGTGCAATAGTTTGACAATGATCAGAGTTGAATATTGTCTTGTGTGAAAATTTTAAAGAAAGAAAAGGAAATGTCAATTGAAATATTGCGTATTTTCTATTATTTTATATTATTTATACTTTATTTATACACTCTATTTAACTCTATACTCTATACTGTATGTTTATATATTGATTTGATTACTTTGATGTGTAAATGTGTTTATATATTTAATGTGTGAAGGATATATGCACACGAATTCTATTAAAAAAAAATTTTTTTATTTTCAATCTTAACATCATTAATAATTGTCATTAACCTAAATTAAAACTTGAGATCTTATGACCAATAGACTTTTTATATTATTATAATTGTATTATGATCACATTCTTATTATTAATTAAAATTTTTCTTTAATTAAAATAATATGAGATTTAACAAATGACACCAAGAGAGGGGCATGTCTGTCGTAGTTTGCAAGCAAATGGAAGAATAACAACTATTTCTAACATTGCTGATATCGGGATTATTATCTTTGCCAATGATGATAC